CTGATTCTCGTTTCAGAAATGTAAATGACTGCACAGGCTGAACAAGTCTGTTGCTAGGGAAAGCCTGACCCAGCTGGAGCAGACTTAGGTTGAAAAGGCCTTAGACTTGCGAAAGGCTTGTGCTGGGATGACTCGGTGACTCAGAGCTGCCTTGGTGCTGCTTTGTCTAAGACTTTTTTTTTTTCTTTTTTGTGTTGAGAGAGTCAGATAGTAATGGTTGCTCCATGTTTAACTTCTGGCTAGTTGAGAGGGTACTGAAACCATTCAGTGTAGTACAACCATTTAACACGACCCAGGAAAATAAAGGGCCAAAGGCTTAAAACGCGAAGGTGTGTATTTTTCCAAGAAAAACCTGAACAGTTGTGTTTCTTTAGAACTTCTAAATGGAGTAACTGGGAGAAATAAACAATTTGGAAGCAAGAATTACACCATGATGAAATAGTTTCTTGTAGGAAGTGTATTCTTCCCTTATTAAAAACAGCGAATGTGTGACCCGTCAATCCTGCCCTCTAACACCATAATATTGATAACGAATTAACTGTTACAAGTACATGCACAGCTGTGACAGATGCTGTAGAAGACAGAAGTTGTATTACAGACTGAATGTTGAACAGCAGGCTTTCTGCTGATTTGTCCTTTGTAGTGTGCTGTTTGCAGAAAGAATGGTTCCTTCGAAATGCTGAAGGGCAACAGGCAAGTCCTTGTAGGAGTAGCTAGTGACCTCAAATGACTGGTGGGGATATAAAAAGAGTAAAGACCTGCTGCGTGGAATAAAGGATTATTTGATGATAGATGATAATTAAATAGCAGGTGTTTTGCAAGGTGGCAAGGTTCTTATCTTCCCCATGTCAGAGTGGTTTTTTACATTAGCAAATCGTAGTTAAGGTCGAGAAGAAACTACTGAATTGCTGTCCTCTGAGCTCTTTGTGTTACTCACAGCTTTGCTTTAGTCTCCTCGGTCTGTGTGTGCTCAGTAGTGTCCCCTCACTACTGATGTGCTGTGCCTGTTTGCTCCCAGCCTCCGTCCTGCTCCGTGGTGCCCCAGCCTGGAGCAGACTTGCCAGGAGATTCTGCCAGATGAAGGAATAGGCTGCAGGTCGCATTAATGACTCTCATCGGATGAACCTGTTATGTGCAATCATTCTTCCTGGTAGTTCATTGACCCCATCTCGGTTACACGATCAGACTTGGATCTGTCTTCTCACTAGGAATGGGCTGCAGGTCCTCAGAGAGACTGTAGTGTGGAGTGTGTTTTTTCTATTACCTTGGGAAGTTTACATGCCCTACAGCTTGCCTGTGGGATGCTTCCAGAAAAAAAGCACAAGTGGCCTTGTTCTTGCATAGTAGGTGAAGCTCAAGACTTTTGGACTGGAGTGCTATTTCTAGGGAGGTGTTTGTGGTCATCTGGGTAAAGGATGCATTGCTTCTCTCTGACGTTTTGCTGTATTGGGACTTACCTTTTAAACAAATAAATGATGTATTTCTTTAAAGAACAAATTTCTCGCTCAGAATTATGTGCTTAGTTTAGAATAAGTCTGAGAAATTGTAGGCATTTTAAAGAAAGGCTTGGAAATCTGTAAGCAGCTGAATGAAAACAGCATGAATCTGACTACTGGTAATTATCCTGGGTGTTTATCAAGACCCAAAACTATTGAGGCAGAGTAATAAACAGATATTGCGTTTTTATTTTCTGTTAGTGAGCAAAATAAATACATAATATTTAATTTCCAATTCTGAATTGAACACGAAACAAAGTTAAGTTATACTAGTCATATTAAAAATGTAAGTAGGAATATCAAAAACTGTTAAATGGAATATAAATGCTCTAAAGAGCATTTTATGTGCACTTCATTCTGTCTGACAGACCAGTTTATATTGTAAGTCCGTATATGCTTTCATTAAAATGGGCTCCAAAGAAAACACAGCACAGCCAAATGGAAATTGTAGCTGACTTTGAGCTCTGTTTAATTTGTTTTTCATATAGTCCTTTTCAGGGCAGCAAGGAAAACGTGAGAAAAAGATGATGCATTGTAGGGTAATTAACTTTTGTGAACAATGTGAACTTTAAAAGAAATTTGTTTTAAAAGCAAAATAAATTCATCTACTTTAATTGGAACTGTTTTTTCCAAATGTTAGTATGAACCAAGATGCTTGTCCTGTTTTGTATTTGGGTCTCTGCAGTTCTCATTATATGTGTGAATTTCTGCAAAGCGTAACTCACTAGATAAACTAATAAGTTCTTAAATCAAAAATGTCAACAGCATCTGTGATCGATTTCTAACATTAGAGCCCACTGGACTTTATCCTTTTCTGTATTAAGGGGATGACGTTTCGTAACTGAGGCAAGTACGTGCGTACTTTTGCCATAAAGTTCTAGAAATCTCATTGATTTATAAAAGCATTAAATACCTAAAATTAAGTAACTTTCAAGCTGAAACAAACATAAAGCTAAAAGCAGTATGACTTTTAAAGCCCAGCCTCGGAATAGAGGCATGAACAGATATATAATGCTTTAGTTAACAGTTGCTGCCATTTCTCTTACAAATTGTTCTTTAGGGTATTGTAACTCAGCTGTTTTTAAACCCATCACTCTGGAACCTTGCCTACAAAATGTCAGCACAAGTGCAGATTTTATTTCTTTAACAAAATAAAGGGCTTGGAGCAGTTAGGCTTTCTAAAATTTTATGGCAGTAAAATAAATTTTGCTACTTTTGCTTTACCATAACAGGAACCGTACTGTTCACCTTGTCCTTCCAGCAGGTAGAAACGGAAAACAAAACATTTTAATGGGAAAAACATTGTGTGTACTAACTTGCCTTTTTTAAAAAACGGGAAGCTCAAAGTCGATGTGTAAATATACTCATGTTCTTGTCAGGCTGTGCTTTGGGCAGAGGGCACTGTGTCTTGAGGGGGGGTGGAGGAATGATTGCTTTAGAAGAAAATTTCAGGAGTTGAAAGCAAGACTTAGGTAACAGCTTATTAAAGGAATTTCATCTGTGTTGAGGTTGCATTTCCTACAGATTCAGGAGAGAAACCCACTCTTCTGCTGCACGTGACCAGTACATCTCTTACCAGATCTACTATCTTGGAGTTCTTTAACATTCCCCCTCTCCCATCTGGTTTCTGAAGCTGGGTAATGCTAACCCATTCACATTTTTTAACATCTTCCTGAAGTTAAAGCCTTGACACGTACTCCAGGCAGTAGTATGCAATTGTTCCGTAGTCAGTATGTACTAAAATGGGGATTTCCTGTCTTACTGGTCATGATGGCCAAATGTTACTGTTTGTACACTAGTTTTGGGGTTTATCTGGTGGTTTGGTTGTGGGTTGTATTTTTTTTTTTTTTTAAGGTTTGGGGAATGAACTTTCTTGCACATAACTGCTTCCAGTGCAGCAAGTCACATTTTAATAGCCTCTGCTTTCAACTTGGATCTTTACAGAAGGAAGATTAGGTAATAGTTTGTGTAGAAAACATCTGTTTCTTAACAAAGATCTCACCCTGGTTTTTTATGTCGCCCCTCTAACAAGAAAGTCTTTTAGTCTTTAAAAGACTTAAAAAGTCTTTAAGGCCTTGTCGGATATTAGAGTTACTGTGGTTTTAGCATGCTCATGTTCTGGATCCTTTGTTAGCTTAAGTTATTAGCCTTAGATAAGTGTTGTGGGATGGAAGGACTGCTTTCTATTGTCAATGCAATTTCTGAATCTCTGGACAATTTGTCTGGGTTAGCGTTTAAGTTTTTTGGCTCCAGTGTTTGTTTAGACCTTTTCCTTGTCTGAGGAAAAGATGTTGTTAAAATAATTAAGCCTAGCATGCATAAAAAGAGAACCTTTCCACAAAATTGAATTGCTTGGGGTTTATTTAAGTTTTGGGTTGCTTAAATAAATCGGTGTTTTACTTTGTTTGCTTACAAGCAACTTACTGTCTGTGCCGGGGAGTCTTTTTTCCATGTTTTCTGCAGAAGAACAGCTCTGAGAGTTTCCAAGAACAACAGTTCTCTCCATAGTTCTTTGTTTTATGTCAAAGTGCATTTATGTGTCTAATTATTACATTATTAGTACACTTTTCCAGTCCCTTTAGATTTTTTTTATTGTGGTACATGTCTAATATGGAAAGGCATAATATATAGATTTATTATGGAATAATCCTTTTGGTCATTGCTTCTTGAGAGTGCATTGAGTTCAGTCTGCTGTTTTCAAGGAAGATTGCTCACTGTGATGCTGTGTGTTCTTGTAAATAAATTTATCCTGTGTTTCTTAGAACTCGAGAAACTTTTTGTATCTGGGTGCCAAAATCAGTGAAACTTGACTCACTGGAACATGCAAATAGGAATTCAGTGCATTAGCTACAAGTCCAAGCTCTTTCCCAGTCGCGGTGCAGGAAGTGCTGACCAGCTTTCCATAGATATTTGTTGGTTGCTGATCTATTGCAAGACTAGCATTCAAGAATTGGGGCAAGTTTGGTTTATGACCCTGGGAAGAGTGATCCGAGAAATAAGTTACAATTTTCTGGAAAGCGTTCCCCTTTATCTGCACGTATCTTAAGGCAGGTGGGTGGTAAACTAGTGACGTAATGCTCAATGCATCATTCTCTGTATTACCTAACTTGTTTGGAGTCATATGGCTGAACCTCTGGTCTGCTCATACATGTCATGATGTGATTTGAAGCAAGTTGTGCAGATGCTTTAGGTTTATCTTTGTGTTCCTGAATGTAAAGTAGCTTTTTTTCAACCGCAGTAATAGAACATTTCTCTTGCCTGCTGCAGGATATAGCTAGCTTGCATCTCTGTGCTGGTCCTGGTAGCGTTTATAGTGCTAGGCTAAATGAGATGAATGTTCAATGTAGGTGTAAAGCAAGTACTCATATTCTATATTAACACTGCAGCCTAATTAAGAAGTTTAAAAATTTTATGGCCATTACGATATCCTACTTGCATTCCAATTTCAAAAGGCTTAAAAAATATTTTATTTACTAACTTTCCTTTCTCCTTTTACTTTTTCAGTTTGCGGGCCAAATGTTGACATTCGCAATGATATCCATGAGCTGAAACGCCTGGAGAACTGTACGGTAATCGAGGGTTTCCTTCAAATTCTGCTCATCTCTAAAGCAGAGGATTACCGCAACTTCCGCTTCCCAAAGCTCACTGTCATAACTGACTATTTGCTGCTGTTCCGTGTGGCAGGCTTGGAGAGTCTCAGTGATCTCTTCCCCAACCTCACAGTCATTCGTGGGAGGAACCTCTTCTACAACTATGCCTTGGTTATCTTCGAAATGACAAATCTTAAAGAAATTGGGCTTCACAACTTGAGGAACATAACCCGCGGGGCCATACGGATCGAGAAGAACTCTGACCTATGTTACCTCTCCACAGTGGACTGGTCTCTTATCCTAGATGCAGTGTCCAATAACTACATTGTTGGGAATAAACCTCCAAAGGAATGTGGGGACTTGTGTCCAGGAACAATGGAAGAGAAGCCATTGTGTGAGAAGACATCTATTAACAATGAGTACAACTACCGCTGTTGGACCACCAACCACTGCCAGAAAAGTAAGATTTGAGTAGATTGTGTGTTTTCATTACCTCTTTCTGAAGTCAAGGTTTAATTTTGTGGTTTTGTTTTATGCTCTTTAGCAACTTAAACTTTTATTCTCGTTGTGTGTAGTCGACATAATGAGTTATCCAGTTACCACACAGATTTCTCCCCATCCAGTAAAGCATCATCTCACTTGATTTAAAAAACAAAACAAACAAACAAAAAAACCCCAAATAAACCCAACAACAATAAAACAAATGCCCAACAACAAAAACCAACAAACTTTCTGGGTTACTTCCCTGTGGAGAAGATGTAAATGAAGTGTAGAATTAAAGCCATTATAGCAAAGCTGGAACCAGTTTTACCTCCCTTGAGGACTTTGGCAGGAGGTGACTGTTGAATGCCATCTCCTCCTCCTTGCTGAAGTGACGTTACGCATGTGCCAGAGTCATTGCCATACTGAAGCTGTTAACTGGGCTTACTTTGACTTTGTTCTTTGCCTCCCTTGGAATGCACCTCCAGAAATTCCTGTAGTGGTAAATTCTATACGCAAGAACTTCTTTACTGAAATCAGCTTTTTCAGTACAGTCTGTAGTGTGAAAAAGTTAATGGATATCTTGACTCTTGATGAAATTGTCCTTGCCCGTTTTGTTCCTGTCTGGCATGACGGCGTTTATGTCTTTCTGATAGCAAGTATTAGCAAAAACAAAACCTGATCTCTTCTCACTTTTTAAAAATAGAGTAAACAAATACATAGTTTACTCAAATAACATGATTACATGGCAGGCTTTTTGAGTTCATCTTGTAGCTTTACGAAAGCTGAGCCCTGCAGTATCAGTAGGGCTTAATTACAAGCAGTCGTCACTGGGAGGAACAGTTCCTAAATTCCACTTGTAGTCTTGACCAAAGCTGCTATAATGATGGGAAATGCCAGAGTGAGAGAGAAAACGGAAACAGGGCTGTAACCAGATTACCTTCATTTGGGAATGGTGTTTTTTTTGAGGTGGCTCATCAATTGCTTGTGAAACCCTCATGTTCAATTAGAACTGAAATTAAAATACCTTGCAGGGCAGTTTCAGTCAACACATGCCAAAAATATCTCTGAAAAAAGGCATTAGTAGGGTTATGGTCTTATCAATAATTCTTACAGAAAACAAAGTTTGTTTTTAAGCAAAGCAAAGAAAACCCCTCAGCCTGTTACTGGGAGACTTTGTGATAAATCCAAGGTGGGGGAAGCGAGCTGCATTGCTTTCTTGCCATGTGTTGCTATGAGTCGTTAGCCTTCTGCAGGCCAAATTTATGTCTTCATTAAAAGAGTGTAACTCTCTTGTCTACAGAGGGTGACCCAGGTGATTTCTGTGCAACCTCATTGCCTTCAGTGGTTTGAATGGAAGTAACTAGAGTGTATTTAATGAGGTATAACAACTTATGTGCTTTCTATTGTGTGCTCTGGCTATTTGGAGTAGACAAAAGTGATGTGCAAGAAAAGCTTGTTGACTTCTAGGGGAATGTTAAAATAATTTGGATCTCAAATGCACATGAGAAGAGATCCGTTTAAATAAGGTGAGGTCATAGTTATACTGTGACGACAGTGCTTTTAAGGCAAGGGTGTAGGTAATGTTTTTCTTTTCCTATATGCTTTGATCTTCCTTTCATGGGATATTGTGAAGAAGCAAGCAAGTATTGGAAAAGAGCCTTGAAAGGCTTGTTGAGAGCATTGCACTGTGGAAAAACCATGTAGGATGCAGAGTGTATAAAGAAATGATCAAGTTCTAATCAATAAAAAGAGTGAGAAAGTTGTACCTATTTAATGTTTGTCATGATAAGCCACTGACTTCAAGGAAGAAGACTATAAATTTGCCAACCATTCCTCTAAAAAAACCCCCAAACCCTAACGTATTCCCGTCCTGAAGGAAAGCAATGAAGGTATATATGTGCAGTTGTTCAGAAGGAAGCTTTTTGTCTCTCCTGCTTGATTGCCTGGTCACTTTGGCAATGAACTCCTGATCTGGAGAGGACTCTCGCAGTACAAAATTACACAAGACATGCAAAAGAATAGAAGCAAGGACTTTCAAGTTACTGAGTGTTTAAATCTGCCTTTTCCTACCAGTAGAGATGTGAGACCTATGTTATTTTCCAGGGAATGTTTTTCTAGCGTACTATCTAATTTAACCCTGGCATTCTCCTTGTGCGTCACAGTAATGTTAAGCTGAAAATGCTGTCCGTCACTCAGGGTTCCTTTATGCCTTTTTATTTTCCTTAGTTCTGGATCTGTGGAGGAGTGTGTATTAAATCTTTTGTCCTTGTTGAGGTTTTACGCTGAAAGATCTCAAGTTGGTGCGTAAATGTTGTGTGGGAACACTTAGTGCTTTAAGTAGCCAGGCTTCTGTTTAGTTTTGCTGTTGAGTGGAAGTTGTGTTTTTTTTTTTTTCCCTTCTTTTTCTTGCTCACAAACAAAGGAAGGACCCCGTGCTTCCTTCGATATAACTTGTGAAGGAACAGCGTTGAGGGTGGAGGGAGGAGAGAGGGAAGAATATGCTGTGTTTGACTTAGAATATTCCACTGGCATTTCTGTAGCAGAACAAGCTACAAAGAAGCTGTAACTTTTAAATAAATAAAATTTATTTATTTTTTAAGGTTCAGTGTAAAGCATCAGCGGCTTCCCTGCCAGTTTTGTTGCCCTGATTTCTCTGTAGTATATGTTCTTCTACATTCAAGTGCCCCAAGGCAGCAGCCTTACTAGTTTGCTTGCTTTGGAGCTGCAGAATGCTGTGTTGGGTTTGGCATGCTGTCACCCCTCTGGCTGACACCTACTTTTCTTCTGGTGTATCAAATGCCAGCTGTACTTTACTTGGGTTGCGGGTCCACACAGAAGATTCTCTGAAGATGAAAAGAAAGTACTGAAGTTGTTCGCATCAGTGGTTGGGCATTAGGGTACAGGTAGAGATGGAAAAGATAAAACCTGAGCATCCAGACATACAAATAAGGTTAAGGCCTTTGATTTTTTTTTTTTTTTTTTTTGGTGGTTGTGACTGCTGGAAATGTTTATGGAAGCTGCCTGCATCTTGCTTAGTGATCGATGTGAGAACCAGAAAACCTGTTCTTGCTATACCCCTTGAAAGAGCAGTCTCTGGTGGCATGCTTGCTCTGCCTATCAGTTGGCCTTCTGTGAAGAAAACTTTTGTTTTCTGTATTCCTTTTGCTGATAACTGAGGTCTGCTGCCTTAGTCACTGGTCCTCTGTAAGCCTGCGGAAACCAAATCTTAATTACAACCTTGAAAGCCTGCCTGGAAGTTTAGGATCCCTTGTCTACCATAACTTTGTGGGGTTTTTTTCTGAACAAGTCCACCTATTTCTTCCTAAGAATAGGAAGAAATTCGTGTTTGCTGAGGCTGGAAGAAACGAACTGGGCAAACTGTTTACGTGACAAACTAATGGCAAAACTGGCAGTGATCCCTATATAAGATCTATGGTGTATAGATAGGTTTTTTTCATTTTTAACTTCATTTTTATTGTTTGTCTGCTCTGCATCTAGCCCTCAGTTAAGTTGGCAATGGTATTAGCCGAAACCCTTCCTTTCCTTCTCGGATAAAAGGAAGACCAGGGGTCTGGTTCTGGGGAGGACAGACTGTTAACACCCGCTCTGAAGGGGTAGTGGCTTCAACTGCAGCTGCTGTGGGAGAGGACAAGAGCTCAGTCTGGAAGTGTAGTGAGTCCTCCCTTTGTGGGAGAGCAAATTACAGTGCTGTACAAAGGGGACGGAACAGCCGCGCTTCCCATAGGAACAAGGAAGGTGAGTGTCTGAAGTGCGTGAGGGACCTTTAGGACTGGATTTGCCACTGACATTAAAAAAAAGTAGGTTTAAATTGGCATTGTAGAGAGAACATGGGTTAGGGCCGTAAGCATTAAGCACTTGTCTCAAAAGAGGCAAATTTGACGTGAAAAACAATAGCTCACGTATACGGCGCTGCACAATACAACAGAAAAATGCCTTCGGCTTCTGAATGTGGGAAACTGAAGCCCATGGAAAAGGCACGTGAGGATTTGAAGGCTGATAAGGAAGCAGATGGCAGCTAAGCACAAAATGTTTTTAATGAAAATGTATCCTTACTCCTTTTTGAATTGGTTTGACAGTGGCCTGAAAAGATATGGTGTATGTGGGGAATGAGGAACAGGAGGGAGAGAATGACAGTGAGTGGGAAGAGTGGTCCATATGTACCTTCTACTAAAATGTTTAAACATATGGAGACAGTAACATGATGTATTCTCACAAATATTCGGAATCTGCTCCTGTTTGTTTACATGGAGCTCAGAAGATAATGCAGTTGAGTGGTATCGTTTGACATAGCTTCATTGACTTGTGCGGTGCTTACCGGTGCATGCCATCTGGGAATCTGCTCCCTGTTGATTCAGCAGAGTAGTGGTGAAAACCGTGTGCTGGGGTTTTTTATTTTCCCCTTCTCTCCTGGATCTGCCCTCTCTGAGGAGCGTTCACCATATTCCCCTGCACTTTAGAAATATTGAGCATTTGTGAACTATGTAGGCATGAAGAAGTTACGAGGCAGAGGTGCTGAATCAGATTGCATTTGTTTTGCTTTAAATTGCATCTGCATGCTTTTTTGTTTGCTGCTTCATTTAATTTTTTTTTTCTTAAACCCTGAAATATTGTAGAAACTGCTTATATCAACAGAGGACAGCATCCTTTAAAAGTTTTATTCTTTTAGCAAGCAAATTTGATGTGGTATAATGTTAAGTGAAGCTCATCTGTGTAATGCCAATCCTACCTTTGTTGGGGTAAAAAAAAAAAGGTATCATAAACCTGAAAATACTTTGAAATAAACAGTTTGTTTGTCCATTTGGTTAGTATGCAAACTGCAGCAAATAAAGATCTTCTGAAAGGTATAAACAGAAGGGTAGACAAAAAAAAGAGTTGTAAAAGGTGCAGTTGGTGTCACTGAGTTAGAAAAATCTGGAGCATGTTAAAAAAATCTTATTAGTGTTTTCGTTCTGAATG